TGATGATGTAGTTGAACTATCTGCTATTCTAAATGCAGTATTTGATGTTCTGAAAATCACATCAAATGTTGATAAATTAGTTCCATCATAATAAGTTGATATTTCCGATGTTCCCATTTTAATATCAGTTCCAGTGGTCATTTGAATATTATCCAAAAATGAAACACTTGTTAAATCGAATGATTGAATGGTATTAGTTGCTAAATATGCATTTTGAACTGCTAAGTTAGTATCAACGGTTATTAATGTTCCTCCGTTAGGTGCTAAATGATTGCTTCTTAATGCTCCATTAGTTTTAATATAAACATCAGCAGCAAATAAATTACCCATAAAATCAGCAGTAGCAGTATTAAAAGTCCATCCACTAGTGATATTAACTGCCCCGACTATGTTAGACTGAACAGCGGGGTCTCCACAAATAAATCTAATTGAAGAATTAGCATCGGTATTTCTCATATCAAAAGATGAAAAAGCACTAACATATCTATATAGTTCACAGTTTGTATCAATTGTTAATTTACCGTTAGTATCAATATTAACATTATCACAATTAACAGCAGCGTTTGTATAAATATTTCCTAACACATCTATAGGTTTACTAAAAATTGTTTTTCCTACAAGCCCATCAGCCATAAAATATTGGTTAGAAGCATTAGTTATATCTCCTACACTACACGCTACAAAATTAGGATGATGTATTTAAAAACCTTCTATTGCATCTGGTGTATATGTTTCTAAATATGGTTCTAATCCATTTATTGAAGTATTGATATTATCTATTTTTGTTTTAATATCTGTTGAAAAATCATTATTTGTAAATAAATTTCCTTTCATATACACACCTCCTTCGAAATATGATGTTCCGTGTGCTTGAGCAAAATTATACGAAGTATGAACATTACCGTTAATCGTAATTCTTGAAGCATTATTAGGTCTTCCAATAATAACATCTCCTGTATTCCATCCTAACCATAATCTATAAGGAGTAGCACCTGTTAGTCCTTGATAAGAGTCCAACTGACATCCTCGTTTAAACTCGAGTCTTTGGTTACTAACTGCGTTTTGGATTCTAAATATTGGATTAGTATTATCTGTTAAACTAAGTATTAACTGTTTGCGCAGTTGTATTAACTTTGTCTAATTTTTGTCCTAATGATGTATCCTGTGAATTATTACTAGTAATTGTTGAATTAATTGTATTTGTATTTCCTGTTATTAATCCACTTAATCCATCTGATTGTAAAACATATCTAGCGTCAGAACCTGCTATATCTAAAATAGACGAACACGAAAATAAACCAGATACTTGTAAATTACTTAATATTGTGGTATTATGATTTAATATTATTTTATCATTTTGAAAAGTTGAAGAATTATTAATTTCTACATCTCCAAAACCTCTTTGATTTAAAAACACAGTTGCTCCACTTAAATTTCCATAAACATAAGTATCAAAATAATTATTATACATTTCATAAAAATTATTATAATTTCCAAAATTTGCTATTTTAAAAGTCGATGTTGTTGTTATATTATGAATTAGTGTATTTTTTAATATTGATGTATCTAATTTTTCTGATAATAAATTATTAGTCGTTATTTTATTATAATAATCTGCTTCATTAAGTGAACCTCCATTCTGTAAATCTGATATGGCTGAAATATGTGAATTTTCTGTACTATTTAATCCTGTTATTAAATTAGAATTAGAACTAATAGTATTAAAATTAGTTGTTATAGTAGAATTCAAATTATTTATTAAATGTGTATTAGATGAAATATTATTAATATTTGTATTAATTAAATTAGAACTAGAAGAAATATTATTAAAATTAGTTGTCATAGTAGAATTTAAATTACTTATTAAATTTGTATTTGATGAAATATTATTAAAATTTGTATTTGAAGTTATTGTCAGATTACCTATTAAACATGTATTTGAACTAATATTATTTGATAATACATTAACTTCCGTCTTATTGTATGATTGAGTTATATCATAAAAATTAGCGTCAATCTGTGCTTTTGTGTAAGTATCTACTTGGTCTGCTTTGTTGTTGGGTAAATCAATTATATCTGATTGATTAGCGTATATGTTTCTAATGTTTGTTACCCCGCTTGTAGAACTGATTTCGCTAATTGTGTGTGCTACAACATTTTCAAAGTTTGTTAAATTTATTGAAGGCATTATATATTAATAGTAGAAACTGATAATATTTTTTTTTATTATCATCATTTTTACTTATTGTTAATCCAAAATCTGAACTCCGGCATCGCGTATGGATAATATTTGTTCACTCACTAACGTTATATATATTGTATCTGGCATATTTGCTGTCACCATATTTCCAATAGGTTTGCAACGAATTAGAAGTTGTTGCCCAGCACGCGTGTTAATTCCTGAATATGATGAATCCGGAACCTTTTGGAAATCCATAGCAAAGATAAACTTATCAACACGATAAGCAGAATATTCAATCGATAAATGATGTTGATGGAACAATGGTAAATTTAATGCTTTTCGTAAATAATAGAATGCTTGTGTTAATGAACGGCAAGGATACTCAGGATATAGTTTTGAACCTAATTGAAGTTGAAATTCTAAATCATGGTCGTGATTGTAGTATCCACTTTCTTGGTAGTTTAAATAATACATAGGATGATAGAAATTGTTGTATTCTTTCATAACGTGAGTATCGCCTACTCCGCTTTTACTGAAAGAGATGAACGCGGCAACGAGTTTAGACACTGAACGAACAACTGTGGTGTTAATTGATGACGAACCATCGGGAACTTGATTAGATTGACAAATAGAAGTATTATAAGTAATAGGTAATTCTTTCCCATCAAGTAGGTGAGCAACATATTTATTGTGGAGGTCATTGTCCAAGCTTACCAAATCAGTTTGAAGGAATGCGTTACTAATTGAGAACTGCTCATTTGTATGAATGCTTGAGTCTGCATTGCCACTTGCTGGAAACCTCGACCCACCCGCTGTAACAACACAATCGGTAAAATTTGAAAGTAATTCAAGTTCTAAAACAAGAGGACACGCTTTTAACGGGATATACTTAAATTGATTGAATAAACCAAGCATCGGTTTAAATCCTACAACCATTTTTCTGTTAAAGCCTGGAATTGTGTAAGCGTCATATGCAGGACCAATATGACCCGATGAAGGAACTGCACGACGTGTGTTTAAATCATCATCATATCTATAACCAAAACTCTGGGCGTCTTCATTGTCTCTTGCTCCTTTTGACATCATGCAACTCATCATGTGATGATTTCGGTTGTAATAATCAATGTCTTCAACAAGTTGATTACCAGCAATTAGTCTTGCTCTTCTAAAAAAGGAATAAGCAGGAGACAGAGGACGTAAGCGTTTATTGTCTGACGAGTCAGTGTTTTCTATTTTCAACACACGTTGACCAGATGAAGGGGTGTAGATATTACTCCCAGAAGGAAAAAAACGAGACTGAACGACGGTCGTTGATATAACTTGCACCTTTATTTAACTTGAATGAGAGGTTGTCAATTAGAATATCTTCAGCACTAAAAGTTTCCATTGCTATATATAGTTTAATTTAGAAATAATTTAAACTAAATTGATAAATTTATACATTTATCAATTTTACAAAACATATATAAAACATATTTTATATATGTTTTACAAATTGAATAATTTCGTATAATCCTTTTGATTAGATTTAGTATTTTTAAATATTTTCATTTTCTTTTTCTTAATCTTATCTTTCTTTTTTCACATATAATTTTATTCGTAGTCGCAACCATCAATTATTTTCAATGTCTCAAGTAAAGCAATCTCTGAGTAATTATGAAAATAAAAGGTTTTATATTGATGCTTTCACTTCATTACCTTATGGACACTATAAACTACGTTAAAGAAAAGATAACTAAGGTTATTAATGGATATGAACAGATATCAGAAAGGTAAAATTTATAAGATAACAGATAATGGTTATAATAAATGTTATATAGGAAGCACGTGTGAGGAATGAAGTCAGAGAATGGCAAGACATAGACGACGCTATCAAGCATATTTGAACGAAACAGATGTTTATTGTTCTTCGTTCCATTTATTTGATGAGTTCGGTGTTGAAAATTGTAAGATTGAACTTATTGAAGACCACCCGTGTTCTAGCAAAGAAGAACTACTAAAGCAAGAGGGGTATCATATTCAAAGTAATGAATGTGAAAATAAGCGAGTAGCAGGGAGAACTAAAAAAGAATATTACCTTCAAAGCAAAGAAACTATGGATACATATAAGAGACAGTGGTATGAAGACAATAGAGAAAGGATTTTAGAGGAAAAGAAAAAGAAATACATATACTAAGTTCATATTATTTTTTCTCGAAATATATAATATGAATTTGTTGGAGATGTTTAGTGGAACAGGTAGTGTTGGAAAGGTTGCTCAGGATTTGGGTTTTAATGTTATATCATTGGATTTGAAAAATGCTGATATTAATTGCGATATACTTGAATGGAACTACAATCAGTTTGACAGAAACCATTTTCAATTTGTTTGGGCATCCCCTCCATGTACCGAATACAGTAGGGCTAAAACTGTTGGTGTCCGAAAAATTGATTATGCTAATAGTATCGTTTTAAAAACTCTTGAGATAATAGAATATTTCAAGCCTGTTTGGTGGGTTGTGGAAAACCCTCAAACTGGACTATTAAAGGAACAACCCTTTATGAGTGGTCTAAAATACATTGATGTTGATTATTGTAAATACGGGTTTAATTACCGTAAGAGAACACGGTTATGGACAAATATAACTACTTGGAAACCTAAACCATTATGTAATCGTGATTGTGGTAAAATAGTAAATGGAAAGCATCTTGAAACTGCTCAAAGACTGCCGTGTGGTAAAAAATCAGGTTGGTGCGAAGGATACATTAAACATAAACAGGAAGATTTATATAAAATACCTACTGATTTAATTTCTGATATTTTTGTATGTTTATATAATTAATTCAGGAAGACGAAGAGGACGATGTAGTCGGTGAAGTCGGTCAGGAAGACGAAGAGGACGATGTAGTCGGTGAAGTCGGTCAGGAAGACGAAGAGGACGATGTAGTCGGTGAAGTCGGTGTAGTTGATGACCTGCTCATTCAGGTGGTTGTCGTTGAAGTCTCGCTCCGCTACCAAAATTTGTGTCAGCGTGCTTTGGTCTGCGAATGGCGAAGCCATTGTAAAGAAAAACAAATGGCAATCTGTTAACCAAGGGCTTTGGCAGGTATGCTTAACCAACTGTCACCTTTCGCTCCCTGCCACCTTGGTTAAAAGATTAAGCCTTTGTGGGGTTTCTGTTCAAATACCGCGGCCTGACCTGAAAAAAAGAAAAAGACAAAGGTGTTCCCTACGTTCCACCTCAGACCTTTGAGGGGGGTGTTTAGGACGATAATCCATTGGAAAGGCATCTGGATGTCATGAATATCCCCGCTTCATGTCATGAATATCCCCGCTTCATGTCATGAATATCCCCGCTTCATGTCATGAATATCCTCGCTTCATGTCATGAATATCCCGCTTTGTGTCTGAAAACCCCTAATTCTGCTGGTGTTTTCGTATCTGGAATATTCCCGCTTTATGTCATAAGCAACCCAATCTAACATAATGACAGATATAGTTTTTAATGAATATGACACCTTAGATTGTTTGTTTGATGGTCTTGTAGACGATGAAAGCAATAAAGTAAAGTTAATTGTTGAGGCGGAGTTATTTGTAAGGTTTCATCATTTCAATTATTATGATGACGACCGTTTTATCAATAATAGTTATCGTTTTCTTAGTTGTGATGTTGTAGATAATGTAACGAAAGATAATATAAAAGATGTTCTGAGAGCAGCGCACCAAGAAATAAACAGTCATATAGATGAATTCAGAAATAGAATGAGTTTTGAAGGTGTAAAAAGTCTAAGGTTTGAACTCATTGTTGATAAACTAGTGTAATTCAAAACTAAACCATAACCCCCTAGCCAAAACTACTTAAAGAAATATTACCTTATATATTAAGAGAAAAATGAACGGTGATGGAATCAATAATTATATCAATAAAAAAATGCTATGATTGTTGTCACTTCAAAAAAGAAAATGTGGAATTGTATAAATTGAATTTACCTAATGAAATAGTGAATAATATTATTAGTTATTCAATGGATGGTGAAGAAGACATATGTAAAAATTGTAAAACTTGGAGAGATAATCAATTTTTAATCAAATGTCTGTTGGGAATAAAAAGAATACATAATAGAAATGTAGAAGATGATATTTTAATATGTCTAACTGTAAATAAAATACCACCTTACGATTGTGTTAAACAGTTTCTTAAAATCAGTAAGAAAAATATGAAATTATTGATGATATATTATGGATGTTGGGTTATAGCCAAGAGAAAGGAGAAGATGTTAAAGAAAATATCAAATAGTTTAATGTTCAGAATACAGTGAGAGATGTTATTTTTTTTTAAATGATGTATGAAAGAAGTAAGACAAACCAAGTAGATTATTATCCTGAACTGAAATTATAATCATAATATAATAATAACATGTAAAATCTTATAAGTTATAATTATACTGAACTTTTAACCTATAAATGAAAATTATTGAGAAAACACCAACAAAACAAAAGCACCACCAACACCCCAGAACTTGAAAACTACTAAAAGGGCCAACTCTTTCAAATGAAAAAAATGTCGGCCCCCAGCCCAACAATGAACAAGGTGACAATTTACCCAAATGATTACCTTAACGAAAACGATAAATAAGCTCCCTAAAAACCCTCTCTTAAAAACGAATAAGGTGGTTAATAGGTTTGAGATGAATATAAAAAACACAACAGGGGACCATCAACAGACCACCCCCCAGGCCCCCTACTTTTACCATTTTTTTTGGGCCCCCCCCCCCCCCCCACGTATCAGACGTCGGGTTGGGGGAGGGGGGGGGGGGTTATCCTCTATCCTCTCTTAGGTGTCCGACACGCCGAGCAATGTCGGCGGATATATACACAGTACATAGAGGTATATGTATATATGTACACATACGTGGAATTGAAATAGTGATCCACTGTATCAATTAGCCCACTTATGGGTAATCATGCACATGTGTTTCCTGGGGGGTTGTGGTTGGGGGGGTAGGGCCTCAGACCCAGCACCGCGCCAGGAGAAGCTCAGAGAAGTCCATGCGCTGCAGCGGCCTCGTGTGGAGGCGGCCCGACTTAGAAACCTGGGGGGTGTCCGTGCCTTTGAATTTGTCATTTTTTATTTATGTATTTATTTATTTATTGATTGATTTTTGTGGAATATATTCTTTAATTATCATTTGTTGCCCGAATACGCATCGAACCATTCCCGTTGTTAAGTGTTTTTTTTGGGGTAAGGTCGTGTTGTCGTGTTTGTTTTCTTCGGCCGTTTGATTTCAACTGCCAACCTTTTAGGAGAAGGGAACTCCTTCATCAAAGTTCTTGGTGGTCTTAAACGTGCCTTTAAGGGATTTAAGGGGGTGATGAGGGTGATGTATATTGTGTTTTCCTTCGCCCCTTGGGGTTGCCAGATGATTTAGATTGCAGGCCTCCTTTAATTCAAGGGGCACCAGCCACAAAGGAAAACCCTCCTGCTCTGTTTCAGGGGTCCAGGGAAGCTTGCGGCCCTCTGGTCACGAGGTTCCGGTGGCTTCCTTATGGCTCTGAAGCAGATGGCTTTGTCGAGAAACACGGGGGAGTCGAGGAACGGGTGGTTTCCCTTTCATTCCAGGGGTTGATTCCTGGTCCATTCTTTTCAGCCATCGTTCTTTTCAAAAGCCGGATCTGTTTCCCCAGGGGTTTTGATGGTTTTCTAGAAAGAAGGATCCCTGGAAAGAATGGTTGCCCTTTGCATTTTGAACCAATCCTGAAAACTGAGCCAAGCCCAAAAATCCCAAAAAGGGTGCCGCGCCTCGCACGAAAACCCCACGGATTCGCCTTCCCCGCGTGTGCACCCGGAGGCCATTTTGCCGCAGCCTGCGGAGCCCTTCCAGGTCGCGATGGGTTGAGGAAAAGCAAGGCATACAAATGCTGGTGCGATAGGTAGGGTCCCTGTCGAACCCAAGCTTTGGTCCCCGAAAAAGCAAACCACAAGTTGGATGGTTTTTGTTTGGGTCCTTCCCCTTTCTCATTCCCTGCATCCCTCGCACCAGCAAGTAACCATTGGGGTTGAACCCAGAGGTTGAACCTATGGTTGTTTCGTCTGACATACACCTTGAGCTTGGGAATGCACCTCGAGCTTGGTCTATGACCATTGGTCCATTGGAAGGCAATGATGTCAATGCTGAATGCTGGACCCCTTGGTGGACATCACGGCGGAAATCCCAGGTGTGGGTTAAAGGTTTTATTCACGCTGCCCAGGCGAAGCCACCGCTTGGGGGCTCGTTTTCAGGCGAAGCAACCCACGGCCCAGGCGAAGTCCGAGGCGGCCGCCGAGAAGCGGCGCCTGGCGGAGCGACAGGCGCGGAGTCCGTCCCTCTTGGCCGGGGATAGGCCGGGGAGACCTTAGCTACTGATGGACGAAATCCGTTCGCAGCACGAAATGAAACCATGGGAAGCCGTTGGTTGTTGGTATTTACAGGGGAATCATTGAATCATTCATTCCAGGGCTTCTTAGTTGGTGCAGCATTTTGTCCAGCAGTAGGTCCCCCAGCTAGGTGCCCTTTTTACCAACTTTTTTTGTGTTTGGGAGGGAAACCCCCTACTAAAATAGACTACAAAAAAAAAGTTGGTAATTATTCATATTCTAGCCTCTCTACTGAAGAAACCTAGATCAGCTTTTGACCTGTCAGGTGCGCCTAGGTTGGCCCAACAAAAATGGCTGGCTACGCGGCCAAAAGGTTCTTCGTCTTGGCAGGGGCTTTAGGGTTGCTAAAGGCAAGCCAACCATCTGGCTCCAAAATGGCGATGTATCAAGAGGAGCAGGTGCTCAAAGCGAGGTTTTTACCTAAAAGTTCTCTCATTTGGGTTTCCATGTTTAGTAAAGCTCCCAAAAGGCGGAGCCCAAAAGGCCTTTGAGTTTCTGGGTCCTGTGGGGTGAGGAGGTGCCAAAGTGAACCTTTCCTGGCGTTTTTTCTTCTTTTCTTTTTTTTGCGCGCCGAGCCTGATCGCGGGCAGCGCGCCGGTCCTGCAGGTTTCAGGTCCAAGCAGACGCATGGCGTGTTTCGCTTGTCTTGAAAGATGGACAAACGGAAGGTTGACAGCTCCATGTTGCCGAACGGAACTCGAATGTTGGCGGTGGAATTGGTAGTAAACCTTGCACATGTTTGCGGTGTGGTTGGGCAACTAACGATTTGGAGCCACTTTTCTACGCCCCATGAGCCAACCGACGCTTGACTTTGTCTGGGCAAATCATTGTGAGCTTGCTTGTGTTAAAGGTTCCTGTTTGGGGGCATTTGTGTATTCGGCTTCACGGCTTGTAAAATAGTTCGAGCACATAACTTGGGCTATGCGATGCTATTTGTGAAGATGGGCGAAAGAGCCCAACCACATACAAGGCGCCCCTGCAAAGTCCCGCAGAAGCCCCAATACGTAGTGGTTACATACAAGGAACACAACCAGAACCCGAATTCAGCGGCCTTCATGCACTACTCAGATTACGAGCATTCTGTAGATGCCCCCCAGATTCACGGGTGTTCTTTTAAAGGCCCGGGCCTCGGATTCGAAGGCTTCGTCACGTTCGACGGTTCGAGGAGCGGCTTTTGCTGCTGCAAACCTCAGAGTCACAGGAGGCGAGTCGATGACGGTCGACTCGCGAGAGGATTTGTCGGATTCCTTCATAAGCCATTTGCCCTACAAAGAGATCCTCCAAAGTAAACTGGTTTGGGTGATGCCCTGATGCAGCATTCCGTACGGCTGTGGCAAGGCCTTAGGGACAAGCTCTTGTTTTTTTGGGAGCTTGCCTTGCCATGGTACGCTTCCAGCCGCGGCTGAAAAGGCGAAATGGGAACTCCCCCCAAAGGAAAAAAAGAAACAAACACTTGACTGCTACTGGGTTGGATCTTTAGACTTTAACTTTTTGGGAAATCAAGGGTTTTTCCACTAAACCCCCAAAAAGTTAAGCTTTTCGCAGGGGGTCAACAGCAACCAAGAACAAGCTTGCTTGGTTTTCCAGTAATGCTCACCTCGGGTGTGCATTCCGTACTTGACTGCCGGGGACTTTGATTCAGAAT